AACCGGAAAACGCCCCACAAAAGGGCGAACGGGGCCGGACGACGCAGGCTCCCGGCCGCCAGGGCGGCCGCGGGAATCCCCCCCCCCCCCCCCCCCTCTCGCCCCGAATCTGAAACTACCTGGTGTTGGGGTCACCCCCCGATTTCTTTCCGAGTTATTATCGTGCAGCCGTCGTGTTTCGGGGCTCCGTTCTTATCTGTATGCGCAAAGGCACACGACAAAAAAAGCGGTTTCTTGATTTAGGCCAAGTTCTTAGGTTGTGGACTGTTAGGCCCAAGTTAGGGCAGATCGCAGTACCTCTTCTTTAAAACATCCAGGAAACCCCTGCTGCATACCTTGGTTTTCCAAATTCTAACTCCAGTACGGATCTACAATCAATCGCAACCGAACGCTGACCCCCCCTCGTCTACAATGATAGTCTTGAAATTGTAGCCCTTGCGATACACTACACAATAGCGGTCCGTGATTTTCCAAACGATCTTTGTGTCATCGAGATCGGTGAGCTGTACACTGTACACCCAGGATTTGTAAGCTGCTGTGCCGTCCGATTTTGAAACGCTTCAAGCACACAGCAATGACCGCGAATCACCGCCTACGTGAGTGTGTGTTTCCCCGCGGAACGTTCTGTTCAAAACACGAGGCACGTACGTACGTCATCCAAAAACTGTCGGTGCCGTCGGCTCCGACCGAATCCATGTCCTTTGCAGCTGCTTCTTTCTCCCTAGATTATGGATATATATGTGGAACCGCCGATCAACCCTCCGCAGCCGCTGGCGAACACAGCCGTTCATCTTTCCATATTTTTTGTTGTTACAAAATAGCTGTTCTTCGCCCCATCCGTAAGCAGCGAACGATATATGACACAAAACACCTTTGCGGTCATCTCGCTTCCATCGCCGAAACGTTGACTGACAATATTACACATCAAGTGACCTACGAACAGCACCACAGACAGCAAACTGCAAACCCAAGCCGGAATATTTCTGCCGTGGAAGCCCAGAAGCACTAAAATAGTTCATGGGTGTACATACTTGCACCACCTCGCGATAACTCGCGGTACTTCCTCCTGTTGCTCTGCAACCTATAAGTAAACACGAACCGTCGTACCCGCCGACATTCCCAACCATGTAAATAAACACAATTGACCACTCACTCCTGATTCCAAATTGTCATGCTTAGTCGAAGCTACAGACACTCTAGAAAAAAATGTCCCCCCCCCCCCCCCCCCCT